ATCTTCTTGCCCCACTGACACTGTCCCCTCTTTTTTCTCCCCTCCAGGAATGAAGCCTTGGAGATGTAAGTAGCAGCATCAGGTCCCCGTGTGGGGTGGGGGGCAGCTCCTGTGGCATGAGGAGGGACAGGGCACAGAGGGATGGGGGGGCGAGGAGGGGAACAGGGCAAATGCAGGCCAAGGAGGGTTCTGGTACCAGGGGAGGACTGGGAAGGTGGGACCTGTGCAGTGTAGACTGTTCTAGGGTCCCCCCATCATCTTCCCACAGTCCTAAGTTTGGGGGTGCTGCTGCTCCCAGCCTCCCCCAAGCTGGTGGGGTGGGGGGGTCTCCATACCCTTGCTGGGTAACAGGGGTGGGATGGCATTTGGCCATCACAGCGCACCCTGGGCTGTCCCTTGCTCCTCTCTGTGGCAGGAGGTGACATAGGTGACCTTGGTTTTGCAGGCCACCCACATTCAACTTCTACAAAATCCCACGGCCATCCACAAGGCATTAGCCCCTGTTGCCCACAGCATGGGCACGGAGGAGATGGACTTTGCTATGCCTTCTCCCTGGACACTGGGGAGCAGGTTGGGCCCCCCTCGCTGGCTGAAACCCCCTCCCCAATTCCCATTATGTGACGATGCTCCGATATGTGTGGGAGGAGGGCTGCCCCTTGTGCTGTCCCAGGTGGGACTTCACACCCCCCACCTCCCACCAGCCCCCCGTGGGCTCAGGGCAGCTTGTGCCATCCATGCCACCACAACCTGTGCTGCCGGCCAGCAGGAACCTGCTCACCCAGGCTCCTTGCTCAAAAAATGTGACTATTTATTTTTGCAGGGAGCCTGACGCTTTCCAAGGCTGTGATTTTAATATATTTTTTTTTTGGTGTCAAACAATAAACGAGGTGTTTGTGTGCTTTCTTCACATCTGGCTGCGATGGAAGGATGCAACGATAGGGGCAGGGAGGGTTCCCCACTGCTGGCACAAGCTGGGGCTGTGCCTGGGACTAGAGGGCTCTTGCTGGGGTCCCCAAGCGTGCTCTGCCCACAGCCAGCTCTTGGACTCCTGACCCAGCCCATGAGTCGATGCAGGACCACTGCTCAGCGTCACTGGGGCTGGGTGATGTTCCCCTCATTGGGCAGCCTTTTGCACCTGTGCCTGGGTGGGTGCCAGGTCCTTCCCCTGGGAAAGCCACACCAAGATCCTCCTGTCCATGAGGTGCCACCTCATGCTGCCCCCAGCACACAGGCACTTCCCTATGCCCTCTGGCGACCCGGCTATGTGTTATCTGTGGGTTTCTTGTTAGTTTATGGGGTGCCTGCAGCCTGCACCTCCTTCCTTCTGCTGGGTATGGTGGCATGGGGACTTCCAGTGTCCACCCCTACATGTCAGACACTCCTGCCTGGCACGGAGGGGCACAGCAGGGGCTGCATGCACAGATAAGCCAAGGGTGACTTGGTCTGCAGCCGTGGTGGGGCGAGTGCAGTGTTGCTTTGTGCTGCTCCTTGGCGCAAGCACAGGGACCATCCCGAAAGCAGGGTCAGGCACAGGGGACGTACGTGAGCAGTTTGACTCATTTCCTTCGTTGCAAAGTCCAAGTCTCTCTGGAGCGAGTGACGGGGCCGAGCTGGCCAGCTCGCTCTCCGCTATGTGCAGCTGCTTTATCGCTTTTTCCATTTGCCTTCAGATCTTCTAATCGCTATTTTTTTTTCCTTCAGGCGTTATCTGAAGCTGCACCGGCCTTACCTCCTGCTATCTCCCCCCAGCACTCATCCCGACCGCAAAGAGCCCTGTGCTTGCCTATCACCCAGCTGAATCTGTCCTGCGTGGTGGCTCAGCCCCTGCTTCCCCCAAGGATGCCCACCCTTTCTGGTCCTTCAGGGCGGGATTTCCTGGCAGCCCTTTGGAAAGCATTTAGCTGTGTTGTCTCCCTCTGCCATTGCTCTCCCCCACCCTAAACCCTCAACCTCCTGAGTCGTGACCGTTCTGTGCTTGTCTGGGGGCTGTATGTGGAGGTTTCCATCCCCAAGGCCCAGGCTGTCCCCACCGCACAGCATTCCCTGCTTCCTCTTCCCTTGCTGTACCCCTCGGGGACGCCAGCCCGTGCATAACTGCTGCTGGCTTCAGCTTCCGCTCGCTGCCTTTGCGGGCACTGCTCCCTCCCCGCTCCCATCTCTGCTCAGCCTCCAAACATGGCCTTTTCTTCTCTGCAGAGCTCATGGAGGAGGTAGGCAGGGAGCTTGACTCCCCTTGTTCGCTGCGTCACCGTGGCCACCTGCATCCAAAGCCAGCCCTGGCAATGAAAAATCTCCCCCCGCATTACTGCGCAGCCTTTGCCAAAGCGTGGGGCTTGCTCTCAGCAGCTCCCCATTCAGCGCTGCCCCAGGGGAGCATCCCAGTCCCTGGAGCTGTGGCTCCAAGAGGGGCCTGGGTCCATCCTCCTCCTCCTGAGCAGCCTTGGGAGGCAGGTGAGAGCAGCATCAGGCCCCTGCTCGGGGAAGAGGCGAGGACGGCTCATTGCAAAACACCCAGAGCGGCTGCCGCCAGCTCTCCTTTCAGGTCAGGCTACCCCCGCTTATGTGAGCAGCGCCTGCCAGAATCCACTTCCATTGCGTGGGAGGGAAACTTGCGGTGCCCCACGGCCACAGCACGAGGCCCACCATAAGGAAGGGCTCATCAATAGCCAGCCTCTAGAGAACCGTTGCAGCAGTTCCTCTTCCCCTTTGCCGGAGTTTTTTCCACCACAGGGACTTTCTGCAGCCAAGCCCTTGTCTGGGGGAGGCCCTGCCGCATCTTTACTGCGGTTTCACAAACCAGGATCCCTCCCAGCAGCAGCTCTGCCATTGCATGTCTGGGGCAGAACGCTCCCACTGGGGCCAGCCTGGTGCTCCCTGTTGCTGGTTTTCCAGCCAGGAACAAAGGGACAAGTTGCAGCTCTTAGAAAAAATTCTCCCTTCCTCAACCGTATCTTGGGCCTGGTCACAACCATGCACTGTGTGGATGGCCCTTCTCTGCGGCTCACACGCTCCCACCTGCCCCTGCAGCCTCCTGCTTCCATGGCTCCATAGTGATAAGGAGCTGAATAGCACAGAGGGAAGGGGCTGTCCGGGCACAGCTCCATCTCCGAGCCCAGCACGTACCATGGTAAGTTGAGTTTGGCCACTTTTCACCAGAAGCACAATGAAACTGCCGTCCTCCTGAAGGCATGCATCCTCACAACATCCACCACCACCCCAGCACTGCTTTAGGAACCTTTATTTTTAAAAGGAGTCTGTCTTCCACACTTAACCCCATGCTCAAGAGGACTAATGCAGGTGAATCTTCCGCCCATCCCAGCCAGACTCTGCCAGCCCAGTAAGGCGAGAGACAGCTCCTTCACATCACAGCCCAGAACGTGGGGGCAAAGCCACAGCCAGGGTCTCTCTCCTGGAGGAGGGGGCCAGGCAGTGAGCACGGGAGAGAGGGTGGAACCTGGATCTTCCTGCGTGACTGCTCTCAAGTTACACTGACTTTGCAAACAGGCACAATATGAGCCAGACAACCCTGACAAAGCCCCTTTGTGTGCAAAGGGCAAAGGTAGAGGAGATGGGAACAGAGGGCCCGGGTGTCCTGCAGCACAATCTAAGCTTCCACAAAGGAAAGGGAGAGGCAAGGCCAGCCCCAAGCTCGCACAGGCTGCTGCCAGCTTCTCAGCTCAGAAGAGAGTTCGGGTACCGTCTGGGATAGAGAGATAAGGGAATTAGGCTGCTCTGTTCAGCTAAGTAGCTGCAATCAGTCACAGCTACAGGATTGATCTCAGAGGAATTGCAGCAAGACAGCGCAGAGTGCCGCAGCTGCCAGCGCGTGTGCCGGGACCCCCAGTACCGCGGAGCTGCGCCACACTGGCACTGAGCATCTGACTGAGCCCAAAGCCCCAGGACTCGGTGACCCCACTGCAAGAAACATGCCCCGTTTCTCACAGGCAGAGCTTGGAGGCACCACCCAACCCACTGAGCAGAGAATGGGGGGGGCGGAAGACTGTGCGTGTCCCTGCTCACCACTCCACCACCACTGCTAGAGGATCAGGGAAGCAGAAGTAAAGTTATACAGGAGCCGAGCAAACCGAAAACAAAGTGCTTTGGGCAGGGAGCAGTTCTGTAGTGCAACCAGTGCTTTCATCTGCAAATGCACCTGGCATTTGCTCCTCCACTGGGGCACACACAATTGCACTTGCTAGAAATAGCCAGAAAGCCCGCTCTGGCTTCAGATGAGATCCCCCAACCCCAGCCACCCAACAGAGTCTTCGAGATGCTGCCGCATGGAGGCTTCAGAAAGGAGCAGGCTTCTGTACTGCCAGGCAGGGCAGGATTTCCTGGGCTGGATGCGGCTTTCCCCTCCTCGTGCACCCAAGGCTTCGGATCCCGTTGTGCTTCCCCCCTTCACACAGTGTCACCCTGTACCGGTGCTGAGGGGGATGAAGTCCTTGCCATGGGTGGCTGAGGGGCATCATCCACTGCTGCTTTTGAGGGGATCTTGTGCTCTCGGGGTGGGGTAGGAGGGGGGAAGGTGGGGCTCTGCAAGGCATCCGAGTACATCTCGTCCTGGATGCAGGGACGCTGCACAACCCTTTGCAACAGCGGCTTAAGCAAGCCTACAGTCAGCTGGTTCCCCTCGCTGGAGAAGGGCACTGGGTCCTCCTGGGAGTGAGGGAGATGCTGCAGGACCACAGTGAGGATGTCCGAGGCGGTGAGCTCAGCAGGGCACAGCGGCCACAGCGTGTCCAGATAAGGGTCCAACTCCCGGTGCTGGGCAAACTCTGCAAGCAGCGTGGTGAATATCTCCTTGTTAAGCAAGGGGCTGAGCTTGGAAAACTTCTCTGCCACCTCCACCACCCGCTGCCACCGCTTCAGACTGATGAGAAGGTGCAGAGCTTGCAGCACAGCCTTAGGCCTCTTGCTACAGAGCAGCAGTTCGAGCTCCATCTCATCATCTGCCTCGCTGCGCTTGTTCTTCCTGGCCAGTACTCCCAGCGCTCTCTTGTACAGTGGCACTCGGCCCTCTGGGCCCTCCTTGCTGCTGTACGCCCAAGAGATGCTAACGTACTGCTGGGTCAGCTCCACAAAACTGGGCAGCCACTTTGGTTTGAACCTCAGGAAGGAGGCACAGATGAGCTCAAAGAGCGGGACCACCCCATTCTGACCCACCTCCTCCTGCTGCAGCCCTCCCAGGACCTTCTTCCACACCTCTGGGGTGGCCCTGGCTACCAAGAGGCCGTCCCCGTTCTGCTGCAGCTGCAGGCAGCTCTTCGTGGCCTTCCAGGCGGCCTTGGGGAAGGAGGCAAAGACAGAGTTCAGGTAGGCCAAGTTGTCCTTGTCCATGTCAGAGTGCAGAACGCGGCTGACCTCCTGCTCCACCAGTTCCTCACAGTAGCTTTCCACCTCACTCTCTGGGGCACACACCACGCAGGTCTTGAGGAGCTCCAAGCTCATGTAGCTTTGCAGCTCCAGGTTCATTGTGCTCAACAGCTTGGCATAAGTGTCTTGGAGGCCTCGGGCTGGCTTCTGCTTCTGGTGGAGGCTGTGCTGCAGGATGGCAGTGAGGGCCACAGGAGCCTGGAACACACCACCTTTCTTCAGCTTTTCCACCGTCAGCTTGGAGCTGCTGAGGCTCCTCCTCTGGTAGTATCTGCAGGCCTCCTCAAACACCATCTCCACCAGGCATGGCTCAGGTCTGCTGCTGTTCTCAGGCTTGGAGAAGCTAAAGCTGTAGATGCCAGTTTGAGTGAGGAGCTGGATGCTGTCCTCCTCTCCCGGGGCCTCCAGGAAATGCATCTCTTTCGTGCTTAGGATTTTCTTTTCTACGAGCCTTCCACTGTTCTGGTCGATGAGGTACAGGGCCCCAGCCAGCATGCAGGCCAGGATGCTGCCAAAGGTCTTCAGCTGGACAGGACTTCCTTGGGCCAGGGGGCCCCCCTCCAGGTCAAAGATATGCCTCTGTGTCCCATCTGGCTCCACCATGTTCACAGCACCCTTCGTGCCCACCAGCAGCAGACCCCCACCGTTGGACACAGCGGAGGTGTGAATGTCCAGAGGTGCCAAGCCTGCAAGAAGACCCACAGAACCAAGCAGGAGCTTCCTGAAGTCTGACTCGCTGCTGGAGTGCAGTACCTTGCTGCGGATGAAGCCTGCAGAGGGGGCTGTGATGGTGAGCTTTGCCTTCTCGGGATGCCAGATGAGGAGGAATTTGGAAGTGGTGGCAAAGCTGGCAGCGGCAGGCACCAGGAAGATGTGCTGGGGGGATGCCAGGACCTGGTACTCAGGACTGTTGTGCAGGACTATCCTTACGGTGCCCAGCCGCACGCCTTGCTCCCCCACCTCCAGGGCCCGGGTGCAGATACAGAACCTGAAGGCACACTTGCTCATGGCCGAGTGAGCATCCAGGGGAGGTCTCTCCTCACACCACACCAGGCTGGCTCCCTGGCTGCACACAGAGACGATTCGTGCCCGGGCACCTT